CCTGAACTTCTGTACCCATAACCCACAGTTTTAATGGAATTCTTAAATGTGAAGCAACAACACCTTGTGGGAAGCGGGGGTAGAGAGAAATCAGGTTTCTTAAGACACCATCCACTGCTTTTCAGCACAGTACTCTCCTCAACTATTTATCCTTTTTGCTCTGCGGGGGGTAATTCTTTCTCTCTAGTTTTGTAATTTTGTGTAGAGGTGTCAAAAACTACTCAAAAAAAATTTTAAAAAGAACCAAAACCAAAGTGTTTTCACAATCTTCAAGACCTAAACTCCAACAGACCAGATGCTGCTTCACAAGAAACTCAGATGTCTTCTTTGGAGAAGACAAATATAGCTCATAATCTTTCTCAATATAAGCTCTTCCAATATAAGTTGTTGCCGTCAAAGAGTCAACAATTCAGCAGTCTACCTATCTCATTAGTCCTTTAGATATACTTTTGAACTTCAAACCTTAAAGCATTCCAGCACTAGTGTCATGAATGCTCTCTAAGAAGATAAGCATAACAGATAGACAGAACAAGTAGTATCTATCTTTCTCTGTACATGACAACCCCTGACAAATCTGTGAAAGATAAATTGACTTAGTAAACTATTACAGAAACAACTGTCCTGGAGCAGATTTGGACCAATTCAGAGATATTCATTACAGGATTAGCATCTAACTGATGAAACAACCTACAGCAAAAAAGGCATCTTGAAAGAGCAGTGAGCCACTGCACAGTCCCATCCATCAGCTCCAGAGAAATTCACATACTCTTTTTGCAGTTCTGATACCATGGAAAGCACTTAACAGGAAGACACAAAGATGGATCCATCATTAACAACACCAGCACTACACCAGTCAAGGACTAGAATGGAGCACAAATATTTTGATTAAACAAATACCATGACTATTTAGCTATTTATTCTTTTTATGCATCCATTTAAAGGTTAAGCTTAAATAGAAGGTCTACAAAGAATGGCTGGAGAGGGGAGGAACAATACCTAATGAACCTCCTGTCACCATTTCCCCAATTTTGGGGGTTGCTAAAAAAGAATGGCTCACAGGCAAAAGCTTTTGCTTCAAATTATTTAAAAAGTACCTATCAGATCACAAAGCTAGAGCACCAGTTTACGCCCTACAAAAGCTTTACTTTGGTGGTATTTTTATTCACCTTTGGTTTCTCAGCATTACAGAATGATACTTTCAGATTTCTCTTTGGAGCTGTTATGGAGAATAATTTGATGTTTAAATATTAGTTATTCTTACCTAGTAAGAAGAAACTTGGAACTGGTGCTTTGAGGAAAGTCAAAATAGCAAAGGGGAAAAAACCAAACTGTGATAAAGCTGCAAGGGTTAACAATGAGGACAGTGTTTTCCAGTTTGAATTGCACACTTCTTTCCTGCCCTACTCATATTAGTGGAACACTGTAAAATAAGGGAAGATTAACTCTTACAATATTGGGTTGTGATAAGAGTAAGCTGAATGAGCAAAGGATAGCACTAACAGGGATCTGGCACTATTTCTTCAGCAAGAGAGCAGATTTTTCCTTTCTGTCATTTCCTGTGAACTACAGCAGACAAGTATTAGCCCAGGAAAGCAAAATTCAGTCCTGGAGTTTACCAGCACACCCAATACAACAGTCAAAAATATTCCAGTTCTGAGCACAACTCCATCACAAATGTTTTTCTTCTCAAACTACACCAAACTAGAGTATTTAAAAGCTCAGAAAGCAAGTCCAGTATTGTCTCTAGCAATAGCAAAACTATATCATAAACTAATAAACACAGCCCTAAGTGGACTGTTACATCGGTCAGTATCTGACCTAGAACTGTTTAGGAGCAGTATCAAAATCCTATTCTTAATACTTGGCAGGTAAATGAAGCGCTTTTCAAACTGCCAGACACACATGTGAGCTGAACAGCTTCTTTTGATGGATTTTTAATGGTGTGTGCTTTGGTTTTTATTGTTTGGAGCTTAGATACTTTTTTGCGAGGTTTGTTTTAAAATGCAAATATATATGTAAATTTTGAGTCTACACAGATTATGTTGGGACTTTAAAAGTGCTTTCGGAGTGTATTTTTTACACAAAATCATACAATCATATCGACACAGTCTACACAGAATTTCTGCTGTCACCCCTCAGATTACTGAAGAGAGAAAGCTTGTTAAAATTAAGGATCGTTATTAACTGTTTACTACTATTTGCAATCTGACAGCACTCTTAAAACTCATTTGTACTGGGGATCCATTGTGCCAGACCTCAAACTCACACAAAGGAAGTCACAGACTGTGTATAAGTCCTAAAGACCTTATATTCTAGTTTGCTGTCTATGCTGAATATAGACCTCCTTTCAAGTAACTGTTCAAGGCATTAACTGTCAGAGTTCAAGGAGTTTCTGGATGATGGTCTTAGTCATATGGTTTAGTTTTAGGTAGTCCTGCGAGGAGCAAGGAGTTGGACTTGATGATCCTTCTGAGTGCCTTCCAACTCAAGATATTCTATGATTCTATGAACCAATTGGTCGCCTGACTAGTTAAGAAAATAAGTCCTCTAAATCAAATACAAAACTTTATAATGATGTGTATTAAACGGAGTCCACTGTTGCAATAACTAAAGATGTAAGAGTGTTGCACTTTTTCAGCACCTTCTATCCAAGAATCTACCAGCTCTATCATATTTTAACGAGCTAACTAGAAAACCCTACTGATGAAGGGAGGCATGACCTTAAGTTTTAGAATGGAAGACTGAGTTCTGCGTTGACTAAATGATTTTTTCAAGTCCTTATAGTGGGTAAGAATCTAATTTGTATTGACTATACACCTTCAGGTCAAGAGGTGTCATAAGCTAGTATGTATGATGTCCATAGATGATGATCATTTGTATCTCGTTTTCCTTGTGTAATATGATCTTGTCACAGGCATCAACAACTATTAATTGCATTCAAAGTAACACTTGCTGTCCAATTCTGACGAAAAGTACGGCATTAGTTGAATTCAAATCTAGGATCTGGCACAGAAATCTGTGAAATTGCTGCAGAAATCACTGCAGAAAGCAATAGGACCAGATGTTTTTCAAAGTGTTACTTACTATACCCCACAGGGTGAGAGGGCTGAGTTGGCACCAGCTGTGTAGAAGGACCTGGGGACTGTGGCTCATCTGTGCTTGTGCCCGACTGCTGGAAAGCCAGGTCAATTTCTTCATCTGTCAGGCCTGGGGGAGCAGAGGAAATGAAATCAGTTTAGCACCTTTACCCACTTGATGCACGCATAATTAAATTCTCAGGCCCGGCAGAACGCTTTCAAGCTGCAAAGAATTTTGGCACTGACTTGAGCAGTAATGCCTCCCCAATTTTGGATTCACTGGAATGTCTCCCTCTCTCTTTCTCTGTTGCAATTTAACCTTAAGCGACAGAATATTAGCCTCAATGCTGCTTCCAAATGTGGCTCATTCAATTTCCTTAATTTATCCTTGAGTTTATTGCTGCTTTTGAAGTAGCTTTCTATTGCAATTCTCCATTCTTCCCCCGAAAAAAAGATACCATCAACTGCAAATGTGGCTCATTTTAATCTGTAATGGTGTAAAAAAAAAAAGGAGGGGAAAAAACTAACAATAATGCATGAAAACAGACAGGGAAACAAAAAACTAATTATTGGGTTAGACGACTAATTAGTCTAGATCGTTTCCGAAGACGGGAATAATTTGCTTTATTTTATGACAAATGCAGAAATAAAAAGAAAAAATCAGGACTGACTGTGATTAGTATGAATGGGACACAGAATGTAAGGAGGAAATAAAACTATAACAAAACAGATCAAAACAAGGCCAAGCCCAAACTTTCAGCTTTGCATTGCCCCGGCCTATTGCTGCATGATTAGACTGCCCTAGGGCAGCCTGGTTTTTATTTCACGCAGAGCTGTAGTAACACTGCACACATGGTACATGTTGGTGCAGTCACTCCTGCCATCCGGAAATGCCAAGATGACCATCTGTAATTGGCCACAACATATGGAAAGGATTTGGCCAACAAGGAGGGAAAGAAAAGCAGCTAAAGGATTCACGATGGCCAGCATCTGTGAAGAGGAAGCACAGCTGGATTACTTTTTCCAGTAGGAGAAAACATCCTCCAGAAAAAGAATTTAGTACTCAGATGGCAACCATGATGTGGGGCCTGGACAGCTGTGTATTATTTGTCATGTTATTCTTCTGCACAGAAGCAGATAGAAAGCCAGTGTCTCTGCTACAAGGAACATGCAAAGTGATTCAGGACCTTTTACTATACATGTAGCATGAATGCAAAAACATTCAGAAAGGTTAGAAGTGAGAATACAGATTTAAGGAAAGAGATTTAGATGAGAAGAGATAGAGCACTTGATTCTCATGCAGTTGTTGTAGGGACTGAGCACAGTGGGGAAAATGGTATGAGGACAACAGCAGTGGGAGAAAAATGAGGGAATACTTTCCATCATCTCCACTCAAGATCCATGGAGTATTGCTAGCAGATGGAATTCCTGAACTCAATCCTTTAAAACACTTAGCTCTTTAACATTACAGGGAGATACAATACAGAAAATGGTCAAGCTTCTGGGCATATTACCTAAGTTTCAAGAAATTTTTTCAGGGTCTTAAACTTCATTGCATACTGGAGGTCTAGACAGAATAATCTGCAGCACAAACAATATTGCCAGAAATAAATACACAAGTCTGTCTCAGAACTGTTATCTAATATCATAAAGCACTAACACAGTGCTTCTGGTATTCAGAAGGCTTCATAACTATTAAAAGATCTTTTCCTTATTCTTGTGAGTATGTGAGATACAGAGTTCCTGTGAGATACTATTGTATCTACTCTACAGTGCGGATACTGATGCACAGAGAAGTTAGGTGATTTCTCTTACCTAACAGAATACTGTCGGTGTCAGAAACAGTATCAGAAATCTGAAGTTCCTGATCTCCAGTCCTGCAATCTGACAAGATCACCCCTTTACCTGTATTGGATCCATGCCTCAAACAGTAAGGAACCCAAAGCACACATAACACTGGAACAAGACTTGCAGTGAGAGCAGTAAAAGGCATACGAAGACAACTCAGCCTATTGTTCTAGTCACAAAAGCAATATTTATGGTGTCTAATCCATGTTAAAAAGCAAAGTCCTAATCAGAGAGGAACTGTTTTAACCAGGTCCTAATTATCCAATGTATGAGAAAGCACAAACAGATGCCAACCCTGCAGATCACTAGCAACTATGGAATTTCATAAAGATGGAGACAACAAGAGCTACTGGCTGTAAATATTGCTCCCATTAGAATAAGGAATTTTGTTCTATTTCATGCAAAGATAGCAAATCTGATAATATTTAACATGTACCAAAGTTATGGAGGATCCTTAATTCATTCTGCAAAAAGAGCAGGAAACAATGCTTATTGTTTCTTAACCATACTGCCCCTTCAATTCTCATCCCGCTTGAGAAAAAAAAAACAAAACATAAAATCTTTTGCAGATAAAAAGCATTTCCAGGATTATTCTGGTCTTGCTAACTAGGGACACTCAGGTATCACTGTTTCCATTAAAACCTTGCTGTACTGTGAAGAAAAAGCTGATGTGAATGACAGAATGATGGGAAACTTTTCACACTGGAGTTCCTCGTTTGAATCCTATGCAAAGCAGTGCAAATTAAAATTATTACTTCCCTGGCCTATTCTGCTGCCTTGTGACGTGGTCTTGTTCATAGCACTAGTGGCATTATACCAAAGAACAGCACAATTACGTTCTTTCTTAATTATCAGGGGAGAAGACTGGGAGTGCCATCACCTTGGAAAACCTCCTTTTTATTCATCTGAACAAGATGTTTTTAAGGTCCTGTCATCTTGGCCTCCAAGCATCAAGGGAATAATGCCCCAAAGCTGATTCCTTAAGCATATGTATGGAGTAAGTCTGCATTGCAACCAGTCACCTGATTCAGAAATATCCCCATCTTCATGGTTGTCATTTCTCACACACACATGAGCAAAAATGTACCAGATATTCTAAGACTGTCCTCAGGCAATGATAACTAACTCATTGGACCAAATTTTTTTCAGATTCCCCACCTACACACATGTATGCACACACTATGAGTTTTCATACCCCAAAATATTCAACCTTGATATAATAATTACATAGAAAAGTGGCAATTTCTAAACCAGATCAATGCATCATCTGTCCCAATATCTGACCTTGCATTATTTTATCACTCTCCTTCTATCACTGCATTATAGAAAAAAGTTTCCACGGTCCATTCATTGTTCTAATCTAGTAGGAAGCTGGTAACCCAAAAATTAAACCACATCCCTTGGGTGCAAAAGCAGTGCACAAAAAATGGAACTTTGTGTCTAATATAACCCTTCAATAGGTATGTCAAGAAAATCACCTCAGCTTAACAGAAGAATTGCTTTAAATCCACCTTCTCAATACTTTGGAAAACAAACATTTTAGTTCTTCTGGAGTTTCAGCAAGATCAAGACCATGCAGAATGCAAAAGGTTAAAAGGAACAATAAAGGAAACTGACAATTGTAAGTGAATTATATTTGGCTTTGAAAGCTGAGCCACGGCTATATTATAAAAGGCATCTCTTTGCGTTGTTTACCATCACCCTGACTAATGCAGACCTTTTTTTTTGTTTTAAATAATCTCATGCAAATTAGACACACACTTCCTTCCAGTTGATTGCTATCTGCAAGGAATAATCTAACCGCAGAGGGTACTGAGCAAGGACTGAGCTGAGGAGAAGGATGCGAGGAAACTGTCTTCATAGCCCTACAGAATGCAAACCTATTCCCTTCCCCCAACCATTCATTTCATTCCTCTACAGCACCACAGCCATTGCAAAGAATTAGTCATAATTTTCACAAAGCCTTAAAATTTCCATTTCAGGCTTCAGGGTGTCGATTTGAATAATCCAGCACCCATTATTGTTTTGCACTCAAAGGTTCTTGCTGACCCTCTTTTATGATTGTCACCGCTGCCACTCAGTTTTTAGGGATCACTCAGTCAAACGCAGAATCAGGACAAGTCAAAGAACAAAATGTGTTGTCACAAGCACCTCTTGTTGCCTGCACCTTAGTATTGCATAAAAAGCTCCTTTGCCCAAGAACTTTTTAGACTTTACTGACTGTTCCTCTGATGACTGCTCTGAAGTAGAGGAGTACTTAGGGGAGTAGTTATCCATATTTTACAGATGAGGAAGAAGTGACAAGTACACATATAAGAAGTGCTCCAAGGTCAGAACCAAACCTTTGACAGTCAGAAAGGAAACCTCAGGAGATGTGAGTCCCAATCTGTTATTTTACCAAAATCCATTCTTCTCTATTTTCTGGATGAAACACAGTAGCAATAATTGCAATGCAAAACTCTTGCAGGAGCTTAACTAGATGAGCCATTAAGTTTTTCCTTCTCCTTCTCTGATCCAGGCTCTGATATTTCAGTGACAACCCCTTTTCCCATCCCACCCACTGAGCATATATTTTTCTTCTTTATATTCCTCCTTGCATTGCTCAATCCAGTAATTCATGCAAGATTTTCACCACCTGAAGACAACATTAGTTTTACGGAGAAAATTTCTGGTTAGAAAGAATTAAGAATTCTGACATAATAAGGAAGGGTGGTGGAAAGAATTAAGTTCTTTTTGTGGGTTTCCAAAGCCAGCTTCTTTACCCCTCTGACAGAACACTCTGGAGCAATCATCACACCTACCCTTTGCAGAGACAAAAGGCAGGGGAGGGGTGTGGGGCTGAGGGTGGTGTCCGTTGGCATTTTCCTCACACATGCACACACTTTCTATTAAGAAGAAAACAAAATAGAACTGGACAACTTGTTTAGCTACAACAAACTTTATGACTACCCAAAGTCAGTGCATGGTATCATATGACTAAAAGGAAGATCTACTAGTAGACACCCTGAAACGACATCACACTCCTGTTCCTGGAAGCCACTGAGTCAACTCTGCTCAGAAAGAACATGGCCACATTTTAAAAGAATCATCATTAAAACCTTCTGGGATCTGATCCAGACTAATGATTCCACCTGTTCAGTCAGTTACATGCAGTGCTGGGTGATCCTTTTATCAAGTCCTATATCCTACTCTGCGTAGTTGAACACATTTCAAAAAGGTCAAGAAGGCACAGGCTCCAGATCAATTTTCTTTCAGGCACGTTGGTTCATGGGGCATTCACAA